ATGAAAAATTGTGGTCCGGTGTGATTGATCAGAGAGAGATGGGAAAGGTGGAATGTTGGGAGATTTGTGAGCAGGAGGTGCAAGCATTTTTTCAGGAAAGATGATGCCATAGGTAGACTGTGAGGGAGTGTATAATTAGAGATGTCAGGGTGTAAACAGTGCTTTGAATTCCAGAATGCTAAAAATGCAAGATAGAAGTGTGTTTTAGCTCCTTCCCGTGGCAACATGTGTTTACAACAAAGTAGGGAACACTTGAAGCAGCATTTTGTAAATAGAAAAAAGATTTTTGAACAATTAAAAAACACACAAATTATTGAAATCTCTCATGTGTCACTTCATGTAAGTTTTTCTTTGTGTTTTTAGGATTGTAGAAAATGTTACCTCAAATAATATTTCATCTTTTAAAGGAATCTTGCCTATAGAATGTTCTTTTGTAATTACATCATTGACTGTGTTTTATGGCAGGTATATAGTTGATGTGTTTAAGTTAATTGCAGAATTATTTATAATTACAAAGAGTTAGAAAAACCTCAGTAAATTGGGGAATGGTTAGGTAAAATATGAGGAATCTATTATGGACTATTATAATTATGCAGCCGTTAAATAGAATAGGGTAAATGACATAGAAGGATCTTCAATATCTTAAGAGAAAAAAGTACAGAACAGCATATATAGTATCATCACATTCATGTGTTAAGAAAAACTCTATAAAACCATATGCATGTAAGTTCATATATGTAGCAAAATTCATAATTGAAGGACTGAGACTGTGTGTGGAATTAATAGTATATCTTCCCATGTGAGGGTGGAAAAAGATTTTTCACAACTCATTCTATAGATTTTGTGTAATTTGAATCTTTAATGATGATGATTAATTAATGCGTAATGCATTATATGAAAAAAATTTATATGAAATTTGTGGCATTGTAGATAAATGTTGATTCAGAAAGTATAAAATTTATAGAAGGAAATTAAATATTGATAAATTCGATAAGTTCCAGTGTCTAGGGTCTCAAAATATTGAAGTTGTCAAGTAAAAAAATAGGTAAAAGCAGAATTTCTTGAAACTAACATAATATTGCAAGTCAATTATATTTCAAAAAAGTAAAATTTCTTATTCATAAAGACATAGATATAATCAGGGATAGAAACTTTAATAATTTGATTAGTCAGCTCATTTGCATTCCGTTTTCATTTCAATAAGGTCTAGCAGTCTTTGCCTACAACCAGATTGCTTTCCACCAGGTGTGTCAAATCTGATCTAGGCCATATCTGAGTATTTTGTTAAGCAGGGTGCTCATAAGTGCTTTTATGTCATTGAATTTAAGTTGCCATTTTCTGAGAATGATGGCTGTAGATGGAAGCATCTGCTTCAGTTAGGGAGATATTTATTCCACATGTGTTCCATTATTAAGAAAATTTGCACTTTGGAAGTACAAAGTGTGCTCCATACAACTACTGTGTGTGATATTTGTGCAATTACCAAAGCTGTGGAGAGTTGATGTTAAGGCTTTTGTGGTTACCTTAAGCAGAGCTGGTTATTTCGAGGTTTTTGATAAGATAGATCAAAGACTTGAAACAGGGATCAATCTAGTGATGGCTACTCTAATAAGCAAAACTCAGAATGTTGAATGATGAATTCCTCCCTGTAAACATGCCCTGCATGCCTGATTAGCAGGATATTTGCCATTAAATTTTCCCAGCTACCTCAAGGTTACAGCTAACCCACTAATCTTCAACAACTGTGCTGTCAAATTGACAGATTCAATCTCTTATATTTCGTTTTCCTAACCAGGGATAATTTAGGTTAATCCCCCTTCTTTGTCCCAGCTCTGTTACTTTGATCTTAGAAAATTTCTTTACATGTGTCGTCCTTTTCTTCCTTTTAGTTCCCGCCCAGTTATGAAAGGAGAAATATTGCTCCTACTTCCTCCTCTATTCCTCCTCTTCTCCTTTTCTTTGTTTCAATAGTGAACCAAAAAAAAAAATGACAGTAATGATTATTAGCAATAGTTGTGTTTCCTCTCAAGGAAAAGACAGGTTTTGAATTGGAATTGATATGTGGTATTTCATTGAATCTGAGATGCCACTTTGGGAGTGGGTGTAGCTCGGTGGCAGAGTGCATGCTTAGCATGCACGAGGTCCTGGGTTCAGTCCCCATTGCCTCCATTAAAAAAACAAACAAAAAAACCCTAAGATGCCACTTATTGAGAAATGCACCATTTTTTTTATGGATCACAAAGAAAGAAAATATGAATGTCTTAAAATCAATGCTGTCAGTATCTGAAGCCCTGGAAAGTATTCTGAGGATGCTTTCAGCCTGTCAGGCTAAGCTATCTGATTATCTTTACCTTAAACCTGTGATGAATCTTAGCATCACTAATGGGGACGCACTAGACGATGTAAAATGCATACGTACTTGTGAGTAATTCTTGTCCGCCACGTTTAACTGAACTCAATCAGGCCTTTAGATCTCTTCCAGTTTACAGGATATGCAAGGAAAAGAGGAACTGGTTAGACCAAACTATGTGGAAACAACTAGACATGGCCAGAGGTGAGAAGTTCAGCCAGAAAATTGGCCCTGGCTTATTAGTAAGTCAGTGTCTTGGGGGGAAATAGGGCATCAGGGGAGAGCATTCTGGATTCAAAGAGATCTGCGAGTCACAACAGTCAAATATGAGGTGTGATCCCTTATTATATTCTAGAATGAACAAATCAGCCGTAAAAGACTTTTTTTTGGATAATAATGTCTCTATTCATATGTGAATGTGAACCTTGTATTAGGTGATACTAGAGCATTACCTTAGATGTGACAGTAGTATGGTTTCGTAGGGAAATGTCCTTGTTTTATATATGTTACTTTGCTTTTATTAATTCTTAACAATATGCTCTGAAAATACTAAGGCCCTTCACCAGATTTCCAGTTTTAATTTAGTAGAACAAATCATGTAAATGTTGTAACAAAGAAATAAGATGTGCTGTCTGTAGAGGTGTTAAAAAGTGCCAGATACACCAGGAATGGTGCTGTGGCAATCAAAGAAGAATCCTCAGAAATCATAGGACATCAAGCTGGCAGGGACTGAAGTTGTCCTTGAAGGTCGGAGAGAGGAAGTATTTGGCCCTTGTGCTGTGACTCCCCATGCAATAGAAGTTGCTCATCAGTCATGGCTTTCCTTCCTGTGTAGGAAATGGGGCCACTGAATCCTTTTCAGAGATGCTTTCTAGGGCTGCTACCAATTAATAACTTGTTGACACTAGTTGTGAAACCTGTTTTACCATTTCTCAGTCTAACTTCTTCATTTTGCAGAAGGAGAAACTGAGGCAGGGTGGTGTACTGGAAAGCTTTGGGGACATGAGTTAAAAGAATTTGCAAGATTTCTTCCGCACAAGAAACTTTTTCTATGAGCTAATATTTGTTTAGTGTGAATTTTATTAGTTTATCAAATATTAAAATTTAAGTTTGTATGGAGATGGATATTGCTTTAGAGAGTCTATCTTCCCCTATAAAATAGTACTCAGGATCTCAAGATTCACACAGTGAGCCTATATGAACCAGAGAGATTGAAGTTGAATATAATATCAAAGTTGAATGCTGTTGTTGAATTACATGTGTTGAAAATAGTAAATTTAATATTGCATCACTCTGAATTTAAAAAAAAAACATGTTGAGTCTATAACTTGTCTTAAAAAACAGTTGCTTTTTGTCATTAACATTTAAATTGTTTAACAAATTGGTATTTGATTATTATATTTAATCTTTAATTCTCTGAATGTATTACTTTTACCACTAGAATTAACATATCTTTAAGTGAGCAAACGAAACCAAACAAACAAACAAAAAACAAGAGAGAACAGATAATGCAGGGTATACAGAAGTAGAAATGTAATGTTGTGTACATGAAATTTATATAATTTTCAAACCAATATTGCCTCAATAAAAAAAAACTTAAGGAATTACGTTATTAAAAAAAAGAGAGATGATTTAGTAGTGAACTTTTCTGGATGTGCTGCATTATTGGGATTTGGGCTTCCTCTTCAAGGCTTTCCAGAGTCCTCAGCCTGCAAAGAATTTTCAACAGTGTGATACGTTGTATTAGTTAATGACCTAGCAGATTATTTTGCAGTGTTGGAGAGCAGACTAGCTGAGAGTCAGAATTCTTTAGCACATTTATACCAAAGTTTTATTTTGGGAAAATACTTATATTTTATGTATTGTCTGTTCATGAGCTGATAAAAATACTTGTTTGGGACTGATAGTTTCTGTGTGCATTTCGTTGTTATCAAAGGTCAGTGACCCATGATGGGGGAAAGTGTAGAATACATAAAAGTTTGATTTACAAGTGGGTTATTGGTTTAGGTTGTTCATATTACAGCTGTTTTATTAAGGAACAGCAGTAACAACAAAAACCCCAGACCTCATGCAGTGTTGTGGTGCTGTGAAAGTGACATGCCTGTACAACACATGGTAACTTTACAAATCTTTGCAGTCATAATTTTTTTAAGTATGAATGAAATACAGGATTTCTATAAGTCTTTGGCCTTGTACTGTCTTTTTTTGGGAAAGTTCAAACGGTTGTTTCAGGTTGTTTTGGATTTTAGTTTTAAAATGTGATTTTCTTTGTATTTAAGGGTGTGGTAGTTTATCTGAAAAAATTGCACCATGCTCATCATGGTAATCAGCATACACGTTATGGCTTTTTGTACCATCATACCATAGTATATTGGTACATATTGGTATATGTCGAATATTAACAATGTAATATTTTTGTATGCTGAAATGTTTTGATAAGACTAAGCTCTTTATAGAAATAAAGATACCTTTTCAAATAGAAATGAAAACTGGTCATTCTGGAGTTCTCCCCAGCAGAATTAATCCCCTTAAGAATCAATGGCATTATAGTGTAAGATAGTTGAGAAAAAGGAAAGTTCTTTCATAAATAAGCAACTTTAATTTACATTTCCTTGTATTTTGATTTTCAGTTTTTATACGTTTGAGCTATATATACCCTGGCCAAAACACAATCATGGAAGAAAGACTTCAGATAATTTCCATGGCTGCTGTTCCTAAAACGTGAACTTTCTTTTCCTGTGTTCTACTGCCTCTTTGCTTTTTTGGATCAGTTTGCATTGTACAAGTTCCTTTATTTATAGTTTTGCTTTTCCAAATGATTGCTCCTTTTCTATGAGTTCTCAAGAGTTGTTAACATGGATTATAGTTATCTGTCCTTTGCTAGTATCTGGTGGACAAGTAAGAAACCATTTTCTCTTATGATGATTATATATTTTTTTATCCCACTTTTCTCTAAGATTGAATTATTTAGATTGTGAGTATTCTTCACATCATTGATATTTATAAGTTATTTATTCCTGAATGTATTGATAGCATGGTCATTGGAAGTAAGAAAAATTATTCCGTCTGTATAGCTTTGGAGGGCCCATATGCTGTTTAAAATACTTAGTTAAGAAAATGTTTTCCTTTAAAGAGAATGCTCAGTGTATAGGACATGAACCCCAAATTTTGGTGATTGGTTAATTTTGAAAAATTAGATTTTAGTTGACAGAATGTCAGTGATGGAAGGTATGACCAGTCTTATAAGATTTTTTTGAAAAAACTAAGCATTTATTTTGATGTATTTGCTTCAGTCTTTTATACTCATGAGAAATTCTCCTTTGAAAAAATTTCACTGCCTTTGAACAATTTGAAGTGAATATTTCTTTCCTTTTTAAAGATGGACTCTAGCTTCACATTTTTACACATCTTGGACAATTACGCAAATGAGGATTTTGTCATAATTGTGCCATTTTGATTCTCTAGTCAGAGTTTTCTATTAAGTATTTGTTTACTTGCAGGTATATTTGCGTACTTAAACTACCATGTTCCTCGCACAAGACGAGAGATCTTGGAGACCCTAATCAAAGGCCTTCAGAGACTGGAGTACAGAGGATACGATTCTGCTGGTATTTCCTCTAAAAAAATATTATGGGTGTTGTATGATTCTTGAATCTAAATAGGAAGGTTGTTTGTTTGTTTTACTAGATTCTTTTGTTGTTTTCAGTAAATCTAAAATCTGAAGGATCTTTTATTATGTTTAAAGGGTTTGTTCATGTAATTCCAATGGTATTACCATTTATATAGAGTATTGCTTCTTAGGAGCATCTTCTTTTGGTAAAAATGTTACTATGAAAACAAGTCTCCTGGGGCATTTTCATTATAGACCAGAGTTCTTGAAGGCCTTGCTCGCTAAGTTTTTTTTTTCCTTTCTTGTAATTTTAATTTCTTTTTCTCCATGGATTCCATGCTCCTGGCATAATGAACTTCCCTCAGATTCTTCTATCTTAAATAAATAAAAATAACTTTTTGTCAACTTTATGTTCTATTCTAGCTCCTTCCCTTAATTATATCAGGGCTCACCAAAACCACCCCCAGTTTCAGTGATTCCCTAGGAGGCATACACTCCAGAATTCTCTCCCCGTGGAGTCACACAGGATGTTCCCAATTCCCTTAGCGAGATGGGTACCGTGTGAAATGTTGTGTACCGGGAAAGGTCATTAGTAGACCTCGGTGCCCAAGATTGTCATTGGGGGCTGGTTCCATAGATGCCTTCTGCCTAACTTGTACCAAAATCCTAGGCTCCTAGAAGGGAAGCAGATATTCACCATAAGCCACCTTGTTTGCACCAACAGCTTAGGTGCAGTAAGCCATTCTAAATCAGTTAGGGTGGTGGGAACCCTCCTGAAGTCTAGGTTCACAGGTGCCAGCCAGAGGTCATCTTTGCAAGGAGGCCTTTCTAAGGATAGCGGCCTTGGGCTTGCTATGTTAACTTTTTCTGTACACTCAACATTGCTGGATGTAATGGGCATTTGTCTTCCATGGCTTTCCTCAGCAATGGAAAGTCAGCTCCTCAAGTCCTTTGTTCTTAAAGTCTCTCCTTAGCTTCTCTGACAGTACATCTTCCTACCACGCCGATTATTTCTTTTCTGTCTGGTTTGGGGGCTCCTTTTCTTCCACCTATTGCTTATACTGATATTCTTCAAAATACTTTCCTGGGCATGCTTTTCTTCTTTTGTATCTTTGCGGGTGAGCTCTGACTTCATCAGCCTCGTGTATGTTGGCAGCTTACAATCCAGATGTTGTATTTCCTGAACTGCAGACCTCTGTTTCCAACTGCCTCCTCGAAATTTCTCCCTGGATAAACCACGATATAAACTTTGCATGTTCATAGTTGAGCTGAATACACTTCAGCTCCCACCTGACTTTCACTCTGTATTCTTTCTGTGTTCGTTTTATCAGCAATCATTCAACAAGTCCTTTGAGCCTGGGAGGTGTCCTGCCTTCGCACGCCACAGGCAGGCAGTTCTGCTTCTCAGCATCACCTGTCTCTTCATGACCTTTGTGTTGTTTAAGCCCTCTTCATTTTTGCTTTGCTGTAGCTATAACTTCAGACAGCTGGTGTCATTTCCAGTTTTTCTCCTCCAGTCTTTCCAAAGAGAGGTTTCTAAACTTTTTTTGCCATATAACTGCCCTAATTGAAACTATTCAGCACTTTTCCATTACCTTGGGGTAACTTTTTTCAGATGTCTTGGGGACGTTAGTAGACTCTGGAGAGAGGAGTTCCCTGACATTTTCTCTTTATCCTGCTTCTGAGGTGGAGGCCTGTCATCTGTGTTTCTCCACTGTTCTGCATTTGCAACCTGTAGTTCTTTTACTGTCATCTAAAACCACACTGTATTGTAATTATTTTTTGCTTGTCTGTCTGCTCAATAGACTAGAAGCTGTCATGGTTCTTTATAACAGGTTTTCAGTAAACGTTGAATTGTTAAGTAAATGAATTAATTAGATGAAAAAATATTTTTTTGACTTAGAAGCTTTGCCTTAACAATGATAATCTGAGTAATAGCCAGTTTCTAAATCTTGCTTTTCTGCCTCTTGATGATTTAGGTGTGGGAGTTGACGGAGGTAATGACAAAGACTGGGAAGCAAATGCCTGCAAAATCCAGCTCATTAAGAAGAAAGGAAAAGTTAAGGCACTGGATGAAGAAGTTCACAGTAATGTACTTAGTTTGATTTTTGTCCCCCCTCCTCTTTTCTTCCTTTTCCCTTCCCTACCAAATTACTCTTCCTCCCGTATTTTGGGACCCATTTTAAGACTAGTGATTCTTCAAGTTGAAGGGAGGGAAGAAAAGTAGTTTTGATTCTGTCTGTACTGGTTTCAGTGTACCTTGATTTGAAAACTGATAGTAACTAGGAAAGGAAATGAATTATGTACGTTGTGTTCTGAGCAAGCTCAGCATCCTAAAATGAAGTAGCCATCATTCCTGAGGAAGGGCCTGTCACAAAACAAAAGGTATTATCAGTGGTGCCTTTATTCACGTATCTTCACTTGGTAGCCGTCTTCACTTTGGGCTAAAACTAGTTTGGGTGTTAGTCGGTCTGGATGTTGCACCTTTCAGTAGGTCTGATACAGTCAGGGAAGTAGCATATGTTCCCCTCATGATTTTCTTACTTCCCTGGCATAAAGTAGTTGCCAGAGATACACGTTCCACTAAAGAGTCTGTACTTTACAGTATTTAGTTCACTACAGTATGCTAGTCCATTTTATCTTTTCACAGGAAACTTGAAAAACAAGACAAAAACTTTGAAGTAGATTGATTGAAAAAACATTTTTAAAAAATCCCCCATAAACACCAGGAAACTCGATTTTTTATATACGTAGTCAGATGGATGCCATCATAATCATTGTGAAGGAGTACAGGTCGTAGAGGAGAATGATGGATTCAGTCATTTTTTGCTTTCACATAAGCCAAACGTTTAGTTTTGTGGTACAGTTGACACTTGAACAACATGGGTTTGAACTGCGCAGATCTATGTGGATTTTTTTTTCAAGAGTATACACTACAGTACTACACTGTCCGTGGTTGGTTGAGTCTGACAGGGTAGAACCTTGGGTATGGAGGGCCAATTCTAAGTTATATGTGGATTTTTTTGCTGCGTGGTGGGTCAGGGCCCCGAAGCCCTTGTGTTGTTCAGGGGTCAGCTGTGCTTGTTTAACAAATTAAATCAGTACTTATTTTGCATGTGTTGTGGGTAAGATTAGCTTGGAATAAAGCAGACACCCAAATAACTACACTTGAGAAACTGCGGTTATAAATAGTCGGTCTGCTGTGTCTGTCGCATCCTGTTTACCAGGCTGATTATAGTAGGTTCTACAGGAAAGAACGAACATTGCTCTAAGATCACAGGAGAGCTGGTTGCCACAATTTGGGGAGACTTGGGATATGGAAGGAATGGCTGCTGGTTATATTTGGGCAGTGAAGGTGAGAAGGGGGGGACCTTCTGAGTAGAATAGCTTGAGTAAAGGTAAGAGTAGGGAAAGCAAGTTTGATGGAATAGGATATAGTCCTTTTAATCTACATTGTTGGTAGATGGGTGTGGAAGGAGGGAAAGCAGATTGTGACCGGAATCATCTTTGCATGGCAGCATACTGAAACATACCTCCTCCTACGGGAACTGTCGTCAGGAAGCAGGGGGGAAACGGGTACTTGCAGACAGACATTCCTGGTGAATTTGTAACTGATGAATCACTTGAAGAGCAGTCTGGCAGTGTCAAAATGGGAGACACGGTACTAAGTGCCCTCTCTATAGTCCTCATAACCCATGAAGAAGGTAAAATTACCATCCTCATTTTGCAGATGAGGAAATTGAAACTCAGAGGAGCAGGTACTGTCATTAGATGGTGTCAGCAGTAAAGGCAGTGAAATTTGGGGGGCAGAGGAAGGACAAAAGAGGGCTGCTGCTCTAGGGAGCGACAACAATTAAAGATTTTTTTTTTACATTTTATGTCTTAAAGGTATAAAATACAAATGGTTATATGTTAACATTTATTATCTCAGGGTGTAGGCATTTCAGCATTTCATTATAACCAGTAAATTTAAATATACTTGAACTATTAAAAAAAAAAAGAAGGATGACATCTGAGAAAAGGTACACAGAGGGCAAGAAGCCTTGGGAGTGAAGGGAGTGGGGGGCAGATAGAAGGTGCAAGAAAGGAAGTTGCTGAGGCGCTGCCGCTCAGTAAGGTCAAGGCACAGGTAGGGAGTGAGCCTTTATAGGAATTAATGTGAGAGAAAAACTAATTAAAACAGTTAGGAGGTGAGGAGGAAGCCTGAGTAAGGTGGAGACTGAGGGCCTATATAGGTGGGATTGAGGCTTAAGGAGAGTATAGAAGATGTCTTGAGCCGAGGAGATGAGAGCTATGCCCTTAATGAATAAGGAACATGGGTACATGTTCTTTCAGTGACAACAGTGAAATAGGTTTCTTGATTACCATGAATCTGAAATGGACTCAATTTACAGAATTCTGTGACTTTTCTTCAGTGTTGCTTGGCAGCTTGGAGTGAGTGGAGGAAAGAGAAAACAGTGTGGAGTTATCTGTGCTTAATGTTCAACGAGGAGCTTTAGAATGGAGTAACAGTGAATGGGGAGAGTCAGGATTGGAGTCGTGATTAATTTATAAAACATGAAACATTTCTTGTAGGAAATATGCTTATTGTAATAACAATGATTTTTTTTTCTTATTAGACATTAGATAGTGTTCCTTTGGCAACAGGGATATAGTTATGGTAATTACCATGAATTTAGAATGGATTCAATTTAGAGACTCTTGTTACTTTCTCCCGTGTTGCTTGCCAGCATGTGGGGGGACATACTGCTTTTAATTATAATTAGCCCAGAAAACTAGTCATATGTTTTCATTGCTTGCATCGAGCTGTTAAATAGTGAAAAACAGTAATCCTTACTTTTCTGAAGGTCATTTATCAGATCGCCTTTGTTATTCAGAACACAGCTAAGCCAGGAAAGAATATATTGAAGGTTTTATCCATTGATTGAGTGAGCCATCAAAAGATTGAGTATCTGCCCTACATAGCTTAATGTGTAGGATTCAAAGATCGTAAGACAGGCTACGTAGAACTTGAATTCTGGTAGAAGCCAGGCTGACGTGTCATAAATGTAATAGTACAGCAGAGTATACCATTGTGCTTCTGGAGTGCTTTGGAGTCAGCCAGCCTTGAGTTCAGATCCTGTCTCTGCTTCCTGTTAGCTATGGCCTAGGGCAGGATCTGTGACCTCTCTGAGCCTCAGTGTCTTTATCTATAAAATGGAGACAATTGTACCTAACTAGTCAGTAACAAAATGAGTATTTATTGAGTGCCCCTTATGTTTCAGCCATTGTTCTAGGCCCTGAGGACAGAGAACAAGATAAAGCAAACTCCCTACCCAGATGGGGTTTACTGTCTGGTGAGTGGGCCAGACAGCAAACAAATACACAGTGTCAGGTGGGGATTAGTGCTGTGAAGAAAAAGTACGGCAGAGGTGACATTTGAGCAGAGGTCATGGACTGTGAAGGAGTGACTTCTAGGCAAAGGGAACACCAAGTGCATAGATCCTGTGTGGGCTGGGCCTGCTTGCAGCTGAAAGTCAGTGGGGCTGGAGCTTAGTGAGTGGGGGGAGAGTGGCAGGAGATGAGGCTAGAGTGGTGGCTGGGGGCTTGGTTGTGTAGGTCTCAAGAATGGTGGATTTTACTGTGTGTGTTGTGGGAAGCTGTTAGGAAATTTGCATAGGGGAGTGACAGGATCTAACTTCTGTTTTGAAAGAATCACTTTGGTTGATGTGCAAAGATTAGATAACGAAGAAGGAAGACTGGGCGCGGGGAGGCCAGTTAGGATTCAGTTGAGCTAGGCCAGTTTAGAGCTGATGGAGGCTTAGGCCCCAGCGACAGGGTTAGAGTGGTGACAAGTCTTTAGTAACTAGCACGAAGTAAGCTCTCAGTAAATGTTAGCTGTTGTTCTTTGTAGCTTTGTTAGTTGTTATTTGTTGGTAGCTATGTGTTGAGAGCTTCGAGGAGTAATTGGAGAGGGTTGGGAGATGAGGATGGAAAGATAGGTGGGCCAGATGGTGAAGGGCCTCATAAAACATGAAAAGGCCTTGTGAGAAAATGGTTCTCTGGTTGTATGTTAGAATTTTAGAATCTTTTTATAAATCCTCGTGACCTGGTTTAGGATGATTCATTTGGGTAGCTAGGGATGCAAACCACATTTTAAGCAACTGGAAGTCAGTTCAAGGATTTTAAGCATTATTTCCTGATCAGATTTATATTTTAAAAAGACCTCTGATTGGCCAGTATAAATCCCACCAAGACTGTGTACTAATAAAATGCATGGACTTTCCCATTCAGACTTCTGAGCAGTTTGTTCTTAATTTAGTCCTAATTCTGATAAACTTTGTTATCTGGTTTCTTAGCCAAATGAATTTTATATTGGAAAGTTAGAAGGGGGCATTACTAGTAAATACTAGAACTTCCCCCCCACCCCCTGAAGAAGCAAGAAGAGAGAACTTATAAGGAAAAGGAATTAGAATATCTGCTTTTCAAGACAAAGGAGAATCTGCCTATATCTTCATGATTTCATGGTGTTGCTTTGTTCTCAAGGACTGTTCTTTGATTTTGGAAGCTCTCCATAATTGCAGTTTGTATTGTGAAATATGTTTACATTCACTGGGGACCAAAGAAATTGCGGTCGTAAGGTGTTATGGCACTGAGAAAATAAATTTATTCTTACATATCTAATTAAAGTGATACTTATTTTTTTAAAGGAAAGAATTAAATGTAGATTTTTAAAAATCACACTAACTCTTTTTGTCCATAAGTTTAAAGATTTTCAAGCCTCCAGAAAAGTTGAAAGAGTAGTACATTAATCACCCATATACTCCATCTGGTTTTACCAGATGTTAGCATTTTGTCACATTTGCTTTATCTCTTTGCTATACCTTTTTTTGGTTGTTACTGGAACCATTTGCCCTAAATATTTCAGCTGCATTAACTCCTCTAAGTCTTTTAACTACTATTTTGAATATGCCTGATCTTCAGTTTCAATCATTGTATATTCTAGGTGAGCAGCACTGTAATAATTATATTTAAATACAGCTTATAGCATTATCTCCACAGCATGATTTAATATTGGAATTTTTCATTTTCTCTTCTTCAGAGCAACAAGATATGGATTTGGATATAGAATTTGATGTGCACCTTGGAATAGCTCATACCCGTTGGGCAACGCATGGTGAGCCCAATCCTGTCAACAGCCATCCTCAGCGTTCTGATAAAAATAATGGTATGAACAGATTGTATGTGCCTTGCAATGTTTGTAGGGGGCCAATAATGGGAGAAGAATGAAAGCTCTGAGTTTTCATTATTTTAATCTGGAAAATTTCAAGCCTATTCCCAAGTAGAGAGTATGCAGAATCTGACGTGTCCATCGCCCTCAGCTTTAACATACATCAGTACGTGATCAGTTATGTTTGTTTATACCCCGACCCAGATTATTTTGGAAGTAGCATTTAATTTGTAAATATGTAAGTACGTATCTCTAAAAGGTAAGGGCTTAGTAGAAGGATGTATCTATGTCTCCTAAGAGACTTCTCCCTTTCTCTCCTTTTTCCTTGCAGTTTACTCTGTTGTTTGTCCTGTAGAGTTTCCTACAGTCTAGATCTTGCTAATGGCATGTATCCTGTGGCATCATTTAACATGATTCTCTGTTCCTTCCATTTTTTATAAATGGGTATGATATTTAGTTACATGCATAATGTTTGGACATTTTTCTTTTTGTATTGTTAGAGGTCACTGATGATCATAGCCAAGAATAATGATTTCTTTAGGGGCTATACAATGGCGACAGTCTAATACTATCATTCCTTCTTCATTTATTATCTCAAATACTTCTATAGAGAGAACTTTTCCATATCAACTGCTTGATTACCCTGATGTACAGATTGTACAGGAAAGACAGAATAAATGTTTGAATTTTTTCCCCCCTTTATTTATCATTTTCCAAATGAAATGGCTCTAATGCTCTAAGATGAACAATGAGCTCCTTTTAATTACTATCAATTCATGGATTTACAATCTTTCATATGTTTCAAAACGCTGAGGTATCTATATTGATGCACGAATTTTCGCATCTTTAGTCACTGGGAGCTTCCTGAGGTTGGCTCCTGAGTCCTTCTGCTGTGACCCCAGTAGGCTCAGTAGTCTGTTATTTTCTGGCAGTGCAGGATGTTCCAGGTTCATCGAGCCTGCCCTAGACCTGGAGCCAGCCATTTCTCTGAGTAGCCCTAAGTAGTTCCTTTTAGTGGAAATGATACTGAAAGACCATAAACCAGGTCCTGGAAGTGCTTATTGCGTGGGCCTTTTCAGTGGGCAGAGCCTGTGTGGGTGTGTGCATGTGTGCACGTACACATTTCAAGAGAAAACAGCATGATTTTACACTAACACTTCTAGTTCATATCTGGGGCTGCACGGCTTTACTGTTAACCTCATTGATCTGTGTATTTCCCGTCAATCACACTTAACTTAGTTCTTCACACCAGCAACGTACTTACTGGATCTATTGCATGATATGCATACCACAGACCCATAATACCAACACTACCGCAACAGTAAGTTTACTGTTTTTTGTTAATTTTTTCTGTCCTGAGGGTACATCTCTTAAGAATATGTAATCAAATTACTGTGTTTTAGAGTCACTTGGGATAATTCTTCTTTATGTGGCTGTGCTAATAGCTGGAGACAGTGTTATGTTAATATATTTTGAGCTTTAGGGATTGATTTTCTTTAAAAAACAATTTTATTTAAAATGTTTGCATAGTTCTGAGGTTACTCCTATAAAAAAGGCAAATGAAAATAAGTCCTAGCTTCTAGCTTGTTTCCTCTTCCTTATTCCACCTCTTCTTTTGTATAGCTGTTAAACAACATTTGTAGAGTCTGTTCTACCATTTTAAAAAAAATAAGCAAACACATATGTTTATGTGTGTGTACATGCATATATGTGTGTGTGTAGGTCCCTTTACGGTAAGATTTTGTAATTCAGAAGCTACCTGTTTAGGTTTTTCATAATTGTTGAACTGGATTAGCATGCTAACAACCACTCAAACTTTCAGTATTGACAAGGTCTTTATAAAATAAGATTCCTGGAAAATTTTATCTAGATTATATTTAGAAAATTTGATTGTGTTTTAAGGCTTTACATTAGCCATTTATGATCCTCTGTATTTTAACATAGAAATATTTTTTAGACCTATTTTTGTGGTGTCTTTCGTGGTACCTTTTCTTTCTTAGAAATCTAGTGAAATGTTTATTTTATCATTTGGTTTGCAGTGCATTCTGTTCAAGCTCATTTAATGTCAGACCAGAATGTCAGATCTTTAATATGTTAAAAACATTTTGATAATTTCATGTAAGATTGAATTTAGTGGTAATTTCCTTCCTGACTTAAATGAACTTTGTTTCTTTTTTAATTTCTTTTCTTTTTTAAATGGAGATACTGGGAATTGGACCAAGTACATTGTGCATGCTCAGCATGCGCTCTACCAACTAAGCTATACCCCTACCGCCACACATGAACTTCAAATAATAAATCCACATTAGTAGTCTTGTCTTTACATTCATGTCAGTAGCTGCAAATAATATTGTCAGCTCTTGATTGTACATTCTTGTATTTTTGAAAGTTATTTGTCAAAAGAGATGAAAATTATTCCACTATCATATATATTTGATCTTGGAATACTATTTTAACATTCATTTATCTGACATTCTAGGAATTTTCTGGACCTTGGATAAATAAACTATAGAACTTAAAAGCTGGTTTTTCTTACAAAGTTCTTTAACTTTAGTTTTAAACTCATTTAGTGTAGATTAGATAATTGTTTTTGGTTGAAAGCCTTTCTCTTTAAAGGTAGGAATGTCTTACGCATAACAATGAATGACAAAGAAGCTGGAATAATAGTTATTTAGTTCAACTCTCTCATTTTACAAGTGAGGAAATGGGCCCAGGAACCATATTTCTTGCACTTGGTAACACTGGGCTAGTACTTTAGCGACGACTGAAGTTGATGTCTCTAATTCCAGTTTATTGTATCTCCCCACTCTTCCCACCTCTTAGCACTGCGTGCTTCTACATATAAATTATGCTGCTGGTCTACCTGAGGATAGTCTGATGATGAAAAGCAGATAATACTTGATTACGCCTAGATGTACAGCATGTAGCAATTTTTTGACTTGCGAAAAATCTATTAACAGTGATGGCTATTTATAATGTTTATTAAACCTATGATTTTTTGTCATCAATACTTTTATCTCTTTTAGAATTTATTGTTATTCACAATGGAATCATCACCAACTACAAAGACTTGAAAAAGTTTTTGGTAAGTAAAGTGACCTGAAAAGATCACTGGTCTTTGAGAACACTTCTAACTAGAGCAATGAGGCTGTTTGTTGGGATGTGCAGTAAATCCTGTCTAGATACGATCAGGTAATCCCTAAGTCACCTCCAAGGGTTTGGTGCTTTACTGGAGTTTTCTTTGTTGACAGTGGAACATTTTTGTTTCCTGTGTGAAAAGGAAATAACTATTTGGCTTTATTATAAATGACCCAAAAGCTCAAATAACATTGGAATTTGAGGGAAGTGTCTTTTGAATTGTGAGAGACCTTGTTTGTCATTTTTAAAAGATTCTAGAGTATGTAAGGAAACTCAAGACAGATTAAATGAAGGCTTTGTACCCTAAATAGCTGTGTACTGTATAATAATGGTAATGATGGTGACCTTCATGGGTGCCTTCTCACACCTATCCAGTTCAACCTCCCTCAGCGACAGAAGCCTTCTGTGTGTGCTGTCCCAGTAGGGTCGCTGCTGTCCACATGTGGCTGTTGAGCTAGGATGAGTGAGGAACTCAATTTGAAATTCTATTTCACTTTAATCATTTTAAATTTAAACAGCCACGTAAAGCTAACAGCCATTGTATTGGACAATGAAATATCATTAAAAAAAGAATCATTATATTCATTATGGAGTTAGTACTTTGTGAATGGTAAATATTTCATTATATTTTAATTTTTTTAAAATGTATTTAAGTCATACATGGCATATATAGATTTATATAATTATATGTATATATTTGGTCACAGAGAATACCTTGCTATATTTATTTATTATTTATTAAGCCTTTTTTGGGGGGATGGGGGAGAGATAGTTAGGTTTATCTTTTTTTTTGTTGAAGGTACTAGGGATTGAACCCAGGACCTCTTGCATGCTAAGCACGTGCTCTACCACTGAGCTGTACTCACCCCCAGTACCTCACTGTTTAGGATTCACCATAATTAGATGGTGACCTTAATTTCAAACAGTGGGTAACTGGGGTATGGTGATCAAAAAATGATTAAAAATTAGTTAATGAGACTTTAGAGGAAAAAATTCCATAGAAAAGATTTGGATATTATGACTATATCCTTAAATGTGTCAAACATTTTTTTCCTTTCTAATTACAGGAAAGCAAAGGCTATGACTTTGAATCTGAAACCGACACAGAGACAATTGCCAAGCTTGTGAAGTACATGTACGACAATCGGGAGAGTCAGGACACCAGCTTTACTACCTTGGTGGAGAGGGTCATCCAACAACTGGTATTAAACCACACTTCTAAAGATAATCATTGCCGACATTAATCCCAGTAAACTCTTAATAACTTTGATAAGAAGAAACTATGCAAATTTCTTGAGTAATTTTTGCTTTTATTTCCCATATATGTAACTATTCAACTTGAGTAATTTTGGGAGACTATTGTTTTAATGATTTTACTGCTTTCACAATAGTTTTGTGTTATGGGTATTAAAAATAATCCAAAATCCAAGAATTTGTCCAAAAATTGTGGATATACACACAAAAACTCATACATACTACACACTAACATATACATAGCACACATTGTCGAGGATTTATCTCTTTCTCCCTTCTTGCTCACTCTAGTGTTCGTCTCAGTAACTTAGCAAAGGGTACCTTCAGCGAAAGGCACACTCTTTGTTCTGGGATGATGTCTGCCTGTCTCTGAGCCAGTACAGTCAATTTGGTTTTCCTTATAGGGACTGTTCCTTGGCCCTGTACCTCTACAGAAGATTATTTCCCAGCCCGGGAGAAAAGTGATATTCTTTTGATCTCATCCCAGCTGCCCTAATTAAAGATTAAAGATATCAAAGATACACAAAGGCCCAAGTACAGAGTGACTTCCACCCCCCGACCCTGCTCATAACTCTAACTTTCCCATTTAATAGCCCCTTACCTCTCTGCGAGGGTCCAACCGTCACCTCCCCTCTCCCCCCAAATCTTACGATGCCTGCAGCTAAAGGAGGAGTCAGGAAGGTGGAGAAGATAGAGGCCTGCTCCTTCCTTTTCCCCAAGGCAGAGTAGTGTGCCTTCCAAGCCTTTTCCTGTTTCTACTCATTGTATAACCCAGTTTGTTCTATTCCTTCCCTCTCCTACCTTGCGTTTCTCCTTCATTCATTCTTGATTTCCTTAGGCCCTGTCCTTGAGGAGTTTGGGTTGAGGGGGTGGCATGATGTGCATGTTAATAATTGTGATTGTGTATACTTTTCTCTCCAATATCAAGGTCAGAGAGAATGGAAGTTAACAGTGGTGTAAAGTTACTAGGCCAGAGGATGGGTTTTAGATATGGAGGTTGGGATCATTTCTAATCATGTCCTTCCTTTCTGACGCATAGTATGGGAGAGATGAGGTACCTACTGAGAAATGCTGGTAGCATGCACAAAAGCTGGCTGTCCAAATAGTATGTTTTGGAGCTTTTATCTGTTGAGCCTATTTCAAGAATTGGCTTATATAAAAAATGGGTCTTGGATTCATCAAGACCCAAAAGTAAGCGTCTACCTAAAATTTAGACTCATTTATAAACTAGTGCAAAAGAGCAGTTATATGAACAAAAAATTTCTATATTGAAGTCAGTATATTTTAGGCATTTACACTTGATAATTGATTATAGTATATATATTGCTAATGCATTTTTTTCCCTCTGTAGGAAGGTGCTTTTGCCCTTGTATTTAAAAGTGTTCATTTTCCTGGCCAAGCAGTTGGCACAAGGTATATATAAATTTAATAATGACTAATAATTTTATGTGTTTTGAAACTTTTGAATTGTAAGCTTATTCTCTGTACACTATAAATGGCCCTTCATTTTAAAGGCTCTGCCCATTTTTAGAGATATTTGTTTGAGTTTACAGTCATCCCTTGGTATCCATGAAGGATTGATTCCACAAACCCCCATGAATACCAAAATCCGTGTATGCTCCGGTCCCCTATATAAAATGGTATAGTATTTGCATAGAACCTATACACATCCTCCTGAACACTTTGTCATCTCTAGATTACTTACGATATCTAATACAATGTGTTATGTAGATAGTTGTAAATACAGGGCAAATGTTGTGTAAATAGTTGCCAGTATGCAGCAAATACAAGTTTTGCTTTTGGAGCTTTCTGGATTTTTTTTTCCCCAAATATTTTCAATCCACAGTTGGTTGAATCTGCAGATATGGGGCCCATGCATATGGGAGGCCAACTGTTTATTTTCATATGTTCCTTCTTGTTTGTTGTTTTACCATTCTTCCGCTTAACAGAATTCCTTAACAAAACGAATACATTTTGGCATTTATAATTGGCCTTTTGTCTGTAGTGGGAAACCATTGTTACTTTGTGAATTTGGTTATTGAATATTCTGTAATTTCAAATCCAAAGCGTTAACTTTATCCATATTTTTTGGAACTGTATATTCTACACAGAGTCTGAGATAATTGTATACCATCACGACTTTTGCCAGGATATTTAAGCCTAATTCTGAAGTGCTTTTTAGGACAGTGCGGAGCCCTAAGACTTGGGAGAGAGACCTGTCTGTAAAATGAAGTCAGGATGACTAGAGAGAAGGTGCTAGACACTCATATATTGTTCATATATCGAAAGAAGGGTTCCATTTAACGTTAAAAAGAGAAAACATTTCAAAATTTGTAGATACTGACAGGCATATGCAGAATAGATAAACAAGATTATACTGCATAGCACAGGGAAATATATACCAGATCTTGTGGTAGTTCACAGCAAAAAAAAATGTGACAATGAATATATGTATGTTCATGTATAACTGAAAAATTGTGCTCTACACTGAATTTAACACAACATTGCAAACTGACTATAACTCAATAAAAAAAAAGTTTAAAAAAAAAAGGAGAAAACTTTCTAACGCATTTTTATAGGACTGGGGTCTGCAAACTTTTTCGGTAACAGGCCAGATAGTAAATATATTAGGCTTTCTGGGCCATGTCGCCTGTGTGGCAGCTACTTAGTTTTGCTGTTGTAATGTGAAAACAGCTGTAGGAAATGTGCAAAAGAGCAGGCATGGCTGTGTTCCAATAAAAATAGACAAACCTAGACTGTGGGTCATAGTTTGCTGACCTCTGTTACGGAATATTTTTTAAAAATTATGTTTATGTCGTTCTTTTGTTATATCTGAAGTCGAACTTGGAGGGAGAATTTAAACATTATTTGAAGAGTGTTCCCTCATCGTATTTAAATTTTACATCATTAGTGCATTATTTATAAAAATGGTTTAATTCTGTTTAATTTTGTACTGACAGACGAGGTAGCCCTCTGTTGATTGGTGTACGAAGTGAACATAAACTGTCTACTGACCACATTCCAATACTTTACAGAACAGGTAAAAACTACTACAGCATGCCATGGGGAAAATGTGTCAATTGAGTGCAGTAGATATAAAGAATTGTTTTCCGTAAATTGAGTAAATGTAAATGTTAGATCCACTCATATATAAAGTTCTGTCTAGACATGAAAAAGATGATTTTTTGTGATTTCTCTGACAAGTAGGTTTTTTTTCTGTTGTATATCCTTAGCTAGGACTCAGATTGGATCAAAATTCACACGGTGGGGATCACAGGGAGAAAGAGGTGGGAAATGCACTCTGCATGGATGGGGAGGAATCTTATCCTCTTTTGTTTACTAATTCTTTGTTCTTGGAGTGAATGTGCTGGGCCTCTAAAAATGTGCTTATTTTATGGAGAAACATTTTGACATTATTTTTCTAATTTGCAGAATATATTTTGTCTGTCTGCTTTTGGCATAGAAAATTGCGTTTAATAATTTGTTTCTTTAAAAATCTCTGAGATTTGAGAAAACAGTTGACATTGTAAAGTTTTTTTCTTTGTTTTAAATTAAAATCATATAGAATACATTATTATAAATAAGATGCTAAAATTAGGACAAGAGCATTGTGTGCTAGGCTATTATAGATTGAACTCTGTGGTAGTTATTTGAATCATTTAGCCTGACTTTTAAATTAAAATATGTTTTAATGGTTTTTTATTTTATGCATGATATTGTTTACATTTTACTTTTAGGTTTACATTCGATATTCTTATTGGCTTTGTTTGAATTTGGAATTCTTGTTTTTTTTTTTTAAATTTGAAGTTTATCTTTTCAGCTATACAAACAGGATCATTTTATTGTTATAATTAGATTAAAAATGGTGGGCTCCTTTCATTTACTTTTTTACTAAAAGCTTTCCATGTAAAAGATACAGGGAGTGGTAAATTTAGGAAATTAAACCCCAAATTATTAATGCATAATTCTTGGTTTCTTGGAAAAATTTAGCAAAGTACTCTAAACCTATTTATCTTTAAATAGTGACTGCTTTCACTGCTTTATCTAGAGCAGAAAGTCATTTCCTTAAATAACCTTCAGTCCTGAGATGTTAGAACTCCTTATTTCCCTCCTCCCACCTCCTCTCTTTTCAGAAGAGGAACTACCAGTATGAATCTTGGATCCAGAGCAGATTTCTGTTAATAATTCTGCGTGTGTATTTACTGCTTATATGTTACCTTGCACATTACTTAGGCTACTTTTAGAAGCAATGGAAAAACACTGGCTAAAGTCCTAAGTTGGAAGAAAAATTGATCACAAGACAGATCTTTTTGAGATCAGGGCTTGTCTTTTAGTAACCCTGATTTCTCTAGCTCCTAGTTGGTAGATAATATGTGGCTTAGTAGAGTTTAAAAAGTACAGCCTTTTAAGAGGAGAGTGTAAAGGCTGTGTAAAGGGAGACACTGGACTGGCTTTCAGTTTGCTATTTTTTTCCAGGATGATAATAATTGTATTTCACTTAAATCAAAATCAGATGAGATAATCAGTGTATCCGAAGAGATTTTACAGATTCTGAGAGTCATATGGATGTCAAGTAGTAATGTTCTTTTCATTTAAATAGGCAGTGATACCTCAAGTTCTTCTAAATATTGTGATTAAATCTACCTTGTTACTTGCAGAATGAAATAACCAATATTTGGAGAAACAATATGGTAAAACTCAATCGCAGTAGGACATTTTATAAGCAAAGCTGGTTGTATTTATTTTAGAAAATGCAGGTGCTGGCCTGTCCTTTTGCTTATTGTTTTATTCACTTTTTTACATACAGTAAAGTTCAGTCTTCTTGGTGTACAATTTCATGAGTTCTGTCAAGCACAAACAGTTGTAATAACCACCTCCACGATCAAGATAAAGAACAGTTTCATTCCCTAGAAAGTTCCCTTCAGCGGCTCCTCTCTAGTCAAGCCTTGTCCCCACACCCAGCCCCTGGCAAACACTGATTTGTTTGCTCTTTCTACAGGGTTACCTTCTCTGAGATGTCATCTTATACTTATTTTTCAAAGTGTGGTATCTTTTCTGCTGTTGAACTTGGTTGGGGAGAGCTGTTTTGTTTTCATGCCTGAAACACAGCAAATAATGATGGACTGTGGAGAACTTTGGATATATGTTTCTAAGAATAATTATTACAAAGTCTTTATAGACATGGATTTTAGAGGATGGACTCAATATGAGTTTTTACAAGTATATTTATGGTCTTCTGTGGCCATTGTGTCCATTGGTTATAAGTTCTGCTATGTCCTGATCTTGGAGAAAGGTGCTTTTTTGGGTCTCTGTGACATTTATATAGTCTTAAGTTACTAGATATTTTCTACATTTGGCTAATTTGTCAAACTTCATTATGGTTTCTAGTTTTGACTGTAGTTGTGAATAAGCAAAAAGGAAAAAATACTTCTTCATCAATGGCTTGATGAATTAAATAGAGATGCCAGAATTCTAAAGTGCTAGAATTAAAAGATGTTAATCATTGCACAAGGACCATGCTTTATCCTGACTTAAATGAAATGTAAGAAAACCCAATTTTAAGGAGAGGTTCTGGGTTTATAGTTCCAGTCCTTAACAGCAGGTGCCACATGTGATACACCTTGGTCAGAGCATTATAAGTGTCTTTGTTTTATTTTTAAATCAGAATTAGTGTAGACTGCATCTTGATTTATTATGCTGACTTACTGCTAAAATCTAGAGAAGTTTTGTTATGAGATCGTAAAAATTAATTTGCCATTAGCCTCTTTTATTTTTCACTGCACAGTTCTGATATTTGTGATGTAATTTTAACGATAAGTTTAGGTATACAAACTTAATACGTATTAATTCCATGAAGCTTTGTTTAAAGTTAAATTAAGATCAGGCTATACATACATTAAAAAAAGACTTAGTGACATTATTTGCTTTTTACTTGGAAAAGCGATATTACATTAAAAAATGTATGATGTAGCACTGATCTGCCACGCTCTTTTTGATAGTTGCTCTTTCACTCTACACCCTTTGTCTGTTCTTGTTGGCTTATTGCATGGAAGTAGAGTGATCTACCTGGCACTGAAAAGTTGCTGAAATTATTTTGTGTTGCTATGATTTTTTTTTAATTCATTTTGTAGAAAAGAATGTATCTTGATATACTGGCCATGGTTTTCTGCCTGTTTGCTGATTCTGTGAACTCTGTGCTCTAGGCAAAGATAAGAAAGGAAGCTGCAATCTCTCTCGTGTGGACAGCACAACTTGCCTTTTCCCTGTTGAAGAAAAAGCGGTGGAGTATTACTTTGCTTCTGATGCAAGGTGAGCTTCCTTAGCTCATTCATAGAGAATTTTAGTAAAGGTTCTCATGCTACAGGGAACCAAGAAGTCCTTTGGTATAAATCAAGTCATATTGTACAGGAGAACTTTGTTAATTAAGGATGTGAAAGTGACCTTTTTTGGAGACAGAGTTCTAGATTTTCTCAAAGTATGTAGGTCAGTTCATAGAGAAGAGGTAATAGTCCTTGAGACTTGTTCCGGTGTGTTGACTCTGAGCTTGTGTATTTTTTTCCCTCTTCTTTTAGGAGCCTCATCCCAGGTTTTTAGGGAGAAGAGATTTTAGTTGGAGAGGAGAATAGCTTAGGATCACATCAATTACAGCTTAGTTGCTACTCTGTATTGTAGTTTTAGTCCAGCGTGGACACTTTTCTTTTTAATTCAGAAGTAATTGGCAGCGGAATCACTCTGTAGGAAATAGTACTAGACTCAGATATTTTGAGAAAAAAGGCAGTGGGATGCTTAGTGGCATTTATAAATGAAATATGAGTAGTAATGAGGATAGAATGGAATCACTCAAATCGCCGACAGTTATTTGAGTCATTCATTGTGCCTGAAAGTAAGAGGATCTAAAAATGAATAACCATGCAATTTAGGACCGCAGTGGATGTGTTATCTCAGTAGGAAAACAGGCTTCACTGTTTTCTAAAATTTACAGGTGTGTAAGGTGTGTAGTCAGTGAAGTGTGTCATTAAGTAGGTTTGTTACGGAGTTGACAGTTATGGCTTAAATAAACTGAAGGTTGCAGAAGCATGTCAGCCTTTTTTCATTCACTCATACATTCACATTGAACACTCCAGCAAAGCCATGCTGGGCTTAGGAGATAGTGGTGAGTAAGAATAAAAATACTGCGTGTCCTTAAGGAGCTCTTCCTTAATGGGGGAGACAAATTTTAATCAGTCGGCACCAAGTACAGAATTCCAGCCATGACAAGAGCTACAGAGTGACTTAACCCTCCTGTGAGTACATTTCTTTGAGGGAACGATGCTTGAACTGAGGGTTAAGGAGATATTAGGAGTTAACTGGGTGAAGAGGTGGAGGAAAGAACATTCATTCTCTGCAGATGGATTGCCCCTTGGGAGTTTGGGATGGATGTGAGTGTGGCTGGAAAAGAGAGAGGAAGTTTGGTAGGAGGTGAGGCCAGAGAAAGAGGTAGGGGTCCTGGTGAAGGCATCTTGCTGTTGAGCGGTTTGTTGGGCGAGGGAGAAGTCTTGCTTAGATGTCCATTTGGGAAGAAATGGGGAGGTTGGAGGGAGTGTGGCTGGAAGGTAGGAGGTTCTGCAGTCATCCACCCAGGAGCTGATGGTAGCTTGAGCTGCTTTGTGGTGGTGGACATCGAAGCTCTGGAGTTATAACTGGGGGACTTAGTGATAGGTGGAAGGAGGAGGAAATAGCCACACTTTCTGATCTGATCTGATCTAAGTTGGTTTTGGTTGCCACACACAGCACCTTTTCTGCACTGTCCACAGTGACCACCCTTCTCCTTCATTCCCCTGTAGGGAACAGCATTGGTAACCAGAACGTTACCAGAGATACTGCAGGTTGATGGAGTTTGTGTTTAAATGTGGTGCTTTTGTCCTAATGATAGTTATATTTATAATCATCATCCTTGATTACTGATCGCACTGTCTCCTTGAACATCCGGTAGTGCTGTCATAGAGCACACCAATCGCGTCATCTTTCTTGAAGATGACGACGTTGCAGCGGTGGTGGACGGCCGTCTCTCTATCCATCGAATTAAGCGGACTGCAGGAGACCACCCCGGACGAGCTGTGCAAACCCTCCAGATGGAACTTCAGCAGATCATGAAAGGTGACCGTTTTTGTCATATTATAGCTTGGCGTCCTTCCTGTCTTAGTGAAGGAATCTGATAACAATGTGAGCAAACCCTTCCACCTGATCAGTGAAGGGATAACCTCAGAAAACATAGCTGCTGGTTGACATGACTTCCCCTTCAGACTTGTTCATGGTGAGTTGTTTCTAACATTAAAAAGAAATTGATTATTTAAATAGTACTTGATATTTTTAAGATACTTTGTAAACATAGTTTGTGTTCTGTTCTTTATTCCTCTCTCCTTCTCTCTGTGCTTCAGTTTTCTCGTGTGTGAAATGGGGATAGTGGGACTCACTTCACAAGGTTGTCTGGGGACTAAGCCCTTAGGA